TAATGTTTGGGCTGGGCAGCCTTTGTCAAACATAGAGTTAACTACACAAAGGTAACAATGAGGACTTTGATGGATAAAGAGCAAGGAAAAAGCAAAGAGATAAATACCTGGATGGTTTAGCTATATGAGTGGGAATGAGACAAAAACACTGATCTGATTATCTGTGATTTTGGTGTTCCTGTGGAAGGGCAAAGCATGACAGCTGATGCATGATGATGATATGTTTGGACTCGGAATGTGACACTGCTGTGACTATGTTGTTGTTGTTGTTATGGGCTCAAATAGGCACCAGCTGCCAATTTCAGAGAGTAAACAAGTTGAATGACTGCTGAAGTAGTCAGCTAGACAGTTTGTAACGGTGATTGGTAGTTAGTATTAATGGTTCTTTGTACCTTCATGTGATTGATTTGATGTTAATTTAATGTGTATTATGGACCATTTTCATTAATGGCAATGTTCATTATTTTACTTTTTTTGATGTTTGTTATTATGCAGTACTGTGTGGTATCTGAACTAATATTTTTGTGGTAGAACTGTACCGGTGTCAGTGTGGTACAACTGTACTAGTACCTACATGGTTCAACTAGTGTATATATGGTAAAGATATATTGGTGTCTCTGGTTTAATTGTATTGGTGCATCTATAGTAGAATTGTACCTGTCTCTAAAGGGAACTGTTCTAGTGTAATAGGTAGAATTGTACTAGTTCTTTCATGGTAGACATGTACCAGTTTTTGTGTACTGGTGTCTTTGTTGTAGAATTGCACTGTTGTAGTGTGTCCATGTTAGAATTGTATTAGTCTGTGTAGAATTATTTTTACTACACTTATCTATGGCTGTGATGTCCCTGGTTGGGTCCACCATGAAAACAGCACTAGATTTTATGTAGCACATCCAGGGTGTATGTGTGTCTATGCCATACACACACGACTTAATGGTGTGGTTTCTCTCTACACAGTTGGGGAGAACAAGTATTAGTGACAAATTAAAGAAACCCCGGGATTGTAAGCATTAGGCAGCAGATCTGATTTGTTGCGTTGATTTTGACATCAGTATGGAGCCCTGTCTTCTCAGATTACGTTGTCAAACTATTATATGCAAAATTGTCTTGGTAAACCAGACAACCAACAGATGCAGGGGTTGGTTCTCCAAAATACTGTAAAGCTGGACTATTCAATTGGCTGCCTGCATATACCTAGCAGATGGACAGCGGATCATTACCAGTTGTATTGTTTTAATGATCTTTCTCCATCGGGGCTTGGGCCTCTGACCCTTGACCTTCAACATTTTAGCCCCTAAGTAAACTTAGTTCAATAGCTCTGCTGTAAAGGATACACAACTATCATCACAATGCTTATAGTTTGTCTCCCATCGCAGTTGAGTTTTCTTTCTTTGACATATGTTCCTTTGTTGGGAATATTCTTGTTTTAAAGATTTATTGTTCAGAATTATGTTCTTTGTTTAGTGCTTGGGTACCAAGATTCTGCATGAAATTATTAAAGTTACTGTTAATCATGAGTGTTGATTTATTTTTTTGTTGGCAGAAAAAAAAACACTGTTCACGTGCAAATATGGTTATTTATAGAATGCACAGGATAGAAATGAATGAAGTAGTAGACTATGAACCCCCTATGATGATTAGTACGTACTCGCCATCCCAATAAGGGATGCAGTTTTGTGCTATTTAAAAGCCCCACTCCGGCTGTTGTCAGGAGCCCAAATATAACCTAAAGGTTGAACAGGGTTTCTGGGACTTGTACCTTGGTGATCCTCATCAGAATTGTGTCACTTTGTGTTACGAGATGTTAATCCTTCATACGGTCCTGGTGGGGTTGAAGTATGCTCAATGTATGTGATTCATAAATGATAACGAAACATGGTGATCAACACGCTGCAAGGCATGTCTATAATTTCAGTAAAATAAAGGGGCATTTTTTGCATTATTGCAGCATCTGTCCATATTCCTTGAGATGTATTGGGCCTATAGTACTAGACCTATACTGGGTTATTTCAATGATGGATACACTTTCATTCATGCATATTTCCTTGAATATACATTAGATATTTTTTTTTTTATACATACAAGAGATAGAGAAAGATCTGAATTTACAAACTTGGGTTATAGACTATAGTTCATTATAACGGCCATCTGCTGCTTGGCAAACATCTTAGCGGTAGCTGAATTCATCCCACACACTAAGAAGCATTACTTGCGTAAATGGGTTCATTGCAGCTGTGCACTCGAGTGGTTGATTGCGCAACTACACTCTAGCAGTAGTACTAAACTGTAGACCTTCCTCTTTCTCTCTTGTGTGTGTATTATTCATACTCAATGTATATTGAAGGAAGTATATGTGAATGAAAGTATCATTATGATTAACCCTGTATTTTATAAATCAATTGGCACTTGGTGGGTGATGTGGTCACCATCACCCCGACCTCCCAGGACTTTACCTAGTACCCATTTAAGGCAGGGTCAACTAGGTAGCCAAGGTCTTTTTTTTTTTTCAAAGTCTGGCTGTGTTCGGATTTGAACCCATGACCTTCATGTATCTTCAGATTCGGCCTAACCAGTCATATTTTACAACATGCTCGTGGATGTAACACATCCCCCCCTTCCTCTTTTTTTCCAATAGGGCCCGAAATCAACACAGATAATATTTAATTAAAAATCTCTCCATGACTGAAAGATGTCGTTTTATCAAAGAGTACTTAAAAGTCAGTGGACACCACAGATAAGTAATTTATAACCATTGCTATGGCAGTGTGGTAGAGGATGGTAAACACACTGTGGTGGGGCCAGCGCAGCTATGGGGAAAGAGTATCCACTGGGATAAGTGAACACCTCTGGGGTGCCCTCTGCTGTTAACAGGAGCATCACAGAGCAGGGCAATCACTTACCCTGACAATCTGAAAGGTTGCTGAAGGCTGAGGAACATTGTCTAAAGCCATGTGGATGTGGAAAGCAAGAGGAAACTATCACATTACTATCCCAAATAACTTATCATTTAAAAGCACAAGCAAGGAAATCAAAATTATAATTTTGAGAGCATGCATCTTCCCTGTAGCAACATACCGATGTGAGGATGTGATTATATCCCAGTCCTTATGAAAGACAATACAGGTTTTTGAGCTGTATAGAAAGATTCTCAGAATATGGACAAAGAAGAGGAGAAATACTGACATTTTAAAAGATTTGCTAATAAACAGCATCTTGTCTCAGAAGCTAAAATAGTTTGGGTCATATCAAGCGCCATGGCAGATTAGAAAAATAATAGGCATGGTACCAGGAAGGATGGGCAGGGCCTGACCAGCACTAAGATGGGCACAGGATATAAGTGTAAGTGACTCCTTGAATATGAAAGTATGTGAGGCTGGAGAGCTGGCGGGATACCTAATTTCTTTCAGGCAGACTGTGATTGACATTATGCAAAGGACCTGCTACATGATGATGATGGCCAACAATCCTGCTAGCCACTGGGCTTCCACAGATCCACTTATAAACCTTGCAACTAGGGCTGCTTTTTTCTGGGTTGAGATACCAGAGAAAAGTCCTAGCTGCAACATTTAACCCAGTGCCTGCGTTCAAAACTTGCTTCAATTTTCTGTTTTTCTTCTATGACATCTAAAACTGTGATCGATCAGTCAGTCAATCAAGCTGTTACCTCAAAGTCTACCATAACATCCCGAGATTTATAAATCCCAATCTTGATGATAGACCAAAAAAGAGGCGTCCCGTGTACACCGTTCAACCCCCAAAGAAGTTATAATCTGGGCACACATAACGTGACTACACCAGTCAGGTGAAACCTACAGCCCTATGCTGGTGAAGAACATTGTGATAATTCCCTTGCTTTGCTCCAAAAAAAAAAAATCCGTCATGTTTAACCAGCATCCCCGAAGTTGACACTTTAGGTTATAATTGTGACCAGGTTACTAACATTGCTCGCCACCAAGTAGCCCTGAAAAAAACCTCTTGCAATGTTGATGCGAACTAATGGGCGACCCGGTCGCCCATGCACTGTGATCGACCACCCTTTCTTTTTATATTATTGAATATATCTGTTTCTGAATTAATTAGTTGGCTCTGTGGCTAAGTCGATGCGAACGCTTCGTAATGCTGGGTTTGATCCCAGCTGCTGGCCATGCCCCTTGCGTTGGTTTCGACAGTGGTATCAAGAGAACCGACCGTCCAGAGAGCAGTGGCAAACTACTGGACGTAGAAAAACCACACATCAGCCAGGGGCTGCTGGGGTTGGTTCTGCAACGTCCTGTAAAGGATACGCAACTAACCTTTCTGAAAAGATTGGGTCAAAAGCTTCAATGCAATGAAAGCCATATTGTACATTTTTGCCATACAGTTAACTTTATTGTACGTTCGCGTGTGTGGTCACACTCATTACGGAAATGACTGTCTTGTGGTGTATATAAACATTTATTTGCAGGCTATGTTCGAACCAGTACAGTAGTAATAGTAGCAGTATTCAGGGATGTATTGGTGGTTGTGGTAGTAATAGTAGTAATACACATACTAAAAAATATATGGTGTTAAACTTTAGAAGTTATAAATGGGATAGATGGTGTTATTACATTGCTGGGCTAGATATTTTCACAATTCTGGAAAACTACCACTTATCTTTAGCAAATGTTTCCTTTCATATTGTTGATAAGTGTTGCAGTGCTCATCTTCATCCTTTGAAATGAAATACTTTGGGTAGATTTTAAGTAGCCGTTTGGCTACTCTTTTTGATTTCCAACTTCCATGGCATTTTTTACGTGCGCAACAATGGGCCTCCGATCTCACTACCCAGAGACTAGAAGACCAAGTCCACGTGAAAAAAAAAAAAAAACTCCATCCCTTACATGGTGATTGAACCCGGAATCTCTAGCACAAGGCGGACACCATGACTCGAGTCCACGCAGCCCATACACACAAGTAATGTCAACAAATACACTAGGTCACATGACAGTCACCTGATGAAAACAAAGAAAATGGCTGAGCTTGAACAGATGCACGCGTTATCAGAGCCCACTTATTGTAGATTAAAGCACAACAAGAATCCTGCATTACTTTGTTCGTACTATATTCTTCTCATATAAAACATTAAAATCCATTTGATTGCCGACACAAATTTTTTTTTTAATAGTTGAATTTTGTCCATGTTTCGTAATTACAAGTCGGCATCAGATCACTGTCAGAGGCTTAGCTTAGGCGTTGCGTTGCGTTGCGAATGCACTTCATCATAAGCCAGAGGTGCAGGATCCGGGATCCCATCAGTGGGCGATGTGGCATAAAAACATCTTGCGTTAGTTTAAACAGTGTTACCAAGAGCTGCCCATTCGGACAGCAGTGGCAAACTACTGAATGTATACTTTGCCCAGAAAAACGACAACAGCCAAAAAATGCTGGGGCTGGTTCTGCGGTGCCTGTGAAGGATACGCAATTAACTAAGTTTTTTCTGAATTAATAAGTTTAATTATAATATTATACTGTAAAATGAGATGACAAATTTATAACTGATGCCATCAGTGACGTGGAATGGTGGTGATGACAATTTGCCACTTGTTGAGAACCTTAATAATAAACAAGAAAAAATTGTACTTATCAGTATCATAAAAGTGCCTGAAGCCATGTAAACAGAAGCCACACAACACAAGTAATGTATCCCACTTATGGATAAATGAGAATAGCAAAATAAATTAAATGGCAAAGCAGGTCTGACCTTTTGATAAAACTTTGTCAAGAATAGCAGAAACGGTCAAAGAAAATACTATCATACTGTGATAGTTTTTGAAGAACAAGAATGAGGGGCACGAAGGTATAGTGGCAAATACTCAAAGACTTTACGTCATCAAAAGCTCATTAGTGTCAGGAAAAACAACTTTCTAGTCGTGACAGGGTTAATCAGTAATTGCATGTTTGAGGTGACTTGGAGTGGAGATACTGCAATAAATTAACTAGTTGTTGTATCAATTCACAGTCTAAACTGGAATATTCAGAGAAGTGTGACAGGAGGATTGACTTACATGGTAACATAATTGCAGTTCCAACCTCATTGCAAACAGGCCATTCCATAGTTGCTTCATTTCTATGCCAATGAAAACCACACTGAATGTGTATCACTGTCCCTTGTTTTAATAAAAAAAATTGACACAGACTGAAGTTTCAGCAAATGGAACAGCATACACAAATATTAGATGTTTTAAGGCAGCAGTCGGAAGTACCAACACAAACAGTCTGACGCCATCAATGCAATTTATTGTCTATGGAAACCGCAATTACAACAGATCAGTAGTTGCACACCGTTAATCACAAAACTCACCACAGTTCTCTGGCAACAGGCTACTCACCATTTTCTTAATCTGCAGTTCACAACAACAAAAACCATGTGGAAGCTCAGTCACAAATAATTTCAAATGAAATCTGCAGCTCACACTGTTGCACCAGGTGCTTAGCTCTGTAGCTGGGCAGTGGAACTATTTCCGTTCAATCTATATATGAAGGAAAATGCAATGGTTCCAACCACAATGAAGACAAAACTGTATGGTACACGAGAGGATATGGATTGCACGATAGCTTTCATAAAGGCTACCGGCCTCCTGATATAAGTTTTCTGACAGAAGGATCGAAGAAGAAGAAGAAGACTGTTGTCAGAAGCAAAAATTTGCCATGACTTGAAACAGTAAACTTGCCTATCAACCATATTGACCAGTAGTCTTTATGTTCCCTTGGGTCTATTATTTGAGTGTATATTTGTTATTCTTCTATCTTCAGCAAAGTTGAATGACCTGGAGAATGTTTTGGCTGTCCTCAAAAGCTGCCAAAAACAGCAGGACAAGATCATGTCTGAAGCCAAGTTGCTACAAATTATGATTTACAAAAGGAGACGGCAGCTAAGAAGTGAAAAATCCCTTCAACTTGTGAGAAGGGTAGGTAGCTAGAAAATGATTATGGGTAATTTATTTATTTTGATTATTTAAAAGTATCGACTATTCCGGCATGATGTTGACTACATTACCCACCGAGTGCCAGTTGAACTATAAAATATCAGTCTAGCATTATATTTTCTACACGTAGTCATTAGCCAAGTTTAAGCTGTAACCAAGAAAGATTTCATTTAATCTAGTTGGTGATCTTTCTATGTAATGGATATTATTATTCTTTCATTTGATTAGGTTCAAGCTTGCCTGAAGAGAGCTAGCACATTTGGGAGACTGTTTACCCTGATTGATGACATTCATAAAGATCTGCTGAGGTAGAACATTTATGTATGTTTATAAAATTTGTTACAATAATTGTCTTAAAGGTTTAATATTGTGACAAGAAAGAGTGAAACTGATCACCCCAGGGTTTAAAGGAGGTCACGACTTAATTGATTTGAAAGCCTACAAATATTCTCACTGTTACTTTATCTGACCTGTGTGTTTTGAGGGCCTATATGGACACAAAGAATCGTAACACTGTAACCTGTCATGCTTATGGTAAAAGACGCTAAGGAATCTTGGTATGAGCAGGGATTATTTCTGGGTGTACGTAGCGGTACTCTGTACAAGCACCTTTTTTTTTTCAGACAAATTTTCTTTGGAGCACTACAGTAATAGACACTTTATGTTGATTACCAGCACTTTATTTTTTTAAAGACATTTTTTTTTTCAGCTGTACTGTAATTAGGGCTGTACCGAATACGAATAGCGGGACCAACTATTCGGCCTAATACGAATAGTGTATTATCATTAGGTGCCTTGCTGACTGGCGTGGCCTATTATGCCTCGCCACAATCTGCGATCTCCTGCAGCATGTATTAGTTCGTGTGCTGACACACCTCCATGCCATGCAACAAGACTGTCAAGAATCTTCTCTCGTTATCTTCCTCTATCCCTCCTTCCACAGATCTTTCAAGTGGTCACCACATGTTACTTTTTCCCTCTTTTCATAACATGGCCGAAAACTGATGGCTGTCTCCTTCTGATGTCTGTGATTAGTTGTCTTCGGGCTCCCGCCTCTTTCAAAACCTCTTGGTAGTTTTTTTTTTTTTTTTGCTGTCCAAGGTATTTTAAGCATCGTTCTGTAAAACCACATCTCTGAAGCTTCAAGCAATTGTTTGGCCTGTCTACTGATTGTCTAGGACTCACAACGCATTGTCTTTAAATATAAGTGCTTACTTGACGAAGCTATCAGTTACTATTGTACAGACCACATTTTTCCCTTAAAAATGTCAGCCAAAATGTAATCACAACCTTACTTATCCGCTGCACTTCACAAATTTGAGTGTGAAACAAGGAAAAAACTCTTGTCGACACTGGCGAGGAAAGACAATTTAAATTTTAACTTTTAAGTGTATCTTCAAGCCTTGTTTAATAATGTCACAATTTATAGCCGACTTTTCTTGATTTTTTGCCTCGGCACCCCTGGCATACGCACCTAGTTTGAGAACCTCTGCTGTATTGCCTCGGTCAGGTCAGCAGGCAAAGACTTTGCCAGCTGCTGTACCACGCAACCATGTCGCAGTTTTCCCTGTTATGACAGACTTAGGCAACAGCAACTATTGTGTTAATAAGAGAGTTATTTCAGTCCATCGCAGTGTATGCAGAAATGGGTGTAAGGTAACCACTATTCGTAATCGGCCCGACCGCAAGTAATCGGCCAAATACCGAATAGTTATTAGGTCCACTATTCGGTCCTGAAGCAAATACGAAGCAAATATTCGGTACAGCCCAAATTGTAATAAGTGACTCCTTGAGTGTGAAAGTTCATGAGGCGGGAGAACTGGCAAGAGACCGAGTTTCTTACAGGCAGACTGTGATGAGAGCGACGTTCTGCAAAGGACCTGCTACATGATGATGGTATAGGGTTGGAGGAAATGTGCTTTGTATGAGATGTTTCTTTGTGCTGATTGGGATTGTCTTCTGTTGTATAAACAAAAATGGTGGTGGATATAAGTGACTCCTTGAGAATGAAAGTACATGAGGCGGAAGAGCTGGTGAGAGGCCAAGTTTCTTTCAGGCAGACCGTGATGAGAGGGACATTCTGCAAAGGACTTGCTACAGGATGATAATGAATTCACTACCAGTCACATTCTGTTAGTTTACAATGACATCATCTAACATTTTATGTCCCTACATACTTTACTATTCACATACTGTTGTTTTACCGCGACATCAACTGACATTTTATTTCTCTGCAGTGCTGTGGCTGAGATGAAGAAAAATGATGTAGTCTACTTACCAGCTCAGCAGACATGGTCATACTTGCTGTACCTACAGCTGCAGTATCTGAAACTACTTGACATTAACCGCTCATACTGCATTGCAGCATTCAAGTATCCTTTTACAGTTACCCTCTATTTCTCTTACAGCATGAGTTCTCTGCTAGGAATGTTTGCCCTTTTTTGGTTTGGGTTGGTTTAAATTTTTATACAAATAGATATATGTTCTAGCCAAAATATTTCAAGACAGGATTAAAGTTTGTGAATGATCGTTATAGTCACAACGTAAAACACTGTATACTGAATAACTTACTAGTGTGTCGCTCTGTCACACATCTTTTGAGGAGAATGTGTCAGACCTGACCATAAATCAGTTCAACTCAGGGGTCAGTCTTGATGACACCACACAAACATTTGTAAAAGGTTTAACTTTTTCACCCTAATAATGCCCCCAAAAATGGGCAATAAACCTAGAGGAATCCGCCCCCCCCCCCCCCCCCCCCCCCCCCCCCCCCCCCCCCCCCCCACCACCACCACCCTCCCAAGTTAAAAAAAAACTATTTTACACAGGTCATTTTCCCCACAAAAAGACACCTAATTCACAAATGTCACTAATAAATTGTTACAAAATTTATTTATCTATATGAGAAGGTTTTTTTTTCAAATTATATATAAAGATAATATAACGGGAATAAACAATAGACGCAGACAGAGAGAATTATTGAATTACAAGGGAAACATTTTATATCAACATGGCTTTAAATTGGCAATTTCGTTCACAAGACAACCCACATAAATGCTGTTTTAGTAAATATATTCATATCCTCATCTCCAAAACACTGCCAGGCGCACACATACATACAGCGAACAGCATTAACTAAGTGTCTCTTAAACACATCACTATAGAAATGCAGGATAAACGGCACACTCAGAGAAATCTGAGTGCCAGGTATGCTTCTACCCAGAGTGGGAAGGTTAAGGCCCTTTTCTGCACCTTAACACATATTGGGTATATGATACTAGCTCCATATTTTTCTAGATCTATTCATATTCGATGATGTCAGCATCACTCTAGCCACATTTTTTTCCCCCAGAACATTTCCTGATTCCCATTTTATGCTAAGGTGACCTTCAAAACTCCCTTCCTTTATGTAGGGTATTGAGCATTCTTTGAATCTTTTCTCCAGGTCATGCCGGCATGGTGGGAAATGAACAGGCAGACCTATTGGCTGGATTTGCATCACTGGGTGGTGAGATGATACATGACAGGGCAGATGTGGTCAAAGCCCTTTGAGAACAAGTAACGGAGTCAGAAGCGAAACAAGATTATTATGGCCTGGAGAGAATGAGGCACCTAGGTGTAACCAGAGGGTCTGGCCGGCTTCCTGCACTCTGAGGAAAGGCAGACATACAACCAGACTACGACTGGCACCATTAGTATTGTAACTCTTCACTGGCTGCTAAAGATGGGGGCACAGTGCATATGGTATTGCCATGAGTGCTGTGTTGTCAATTCTTGACTCAGCTCAAAACAACTCTTCCTTTGTGTGGATTGAAACTTACTAGCCGCTGTGCTACTTCACCACTATTAGTACTCAGATAGCTACTAATTATCAAGGGTAGATATAAATGGCCATTTTTTTCTGAGAACAAAAGATGCCTGTACTCAACACAAAGTGCTCACTAGATAGTGTTTGTTGCATCATCACTGAAATAAATGATGTCTAAAAACGGGGCTGGCACTGTGTTTCATTGCATACCAGCAGAAAAAAAAACCTAGAAATAAATATTTAGTAATAATCTTAGGGACAGGAGCTACTGTACAAATGAGGACTAGATTCTCCTTGAGTGCCAATGATTGTTTAAAAATGTGATGTGCTAGTAAAAAGTGTCTTCTACTGTTACACTTATTCTTAGTCCCCATGTGAGTTTTGGGGCTCCATTGTGGGGAAAACGAAAACAGATCCTCTAACTTCCCAACAAACATGTTATAGGAGTTGACTGATTGGGGGATTCCTTCAAATTCAGAGTGCATCTGCCTGAGCAGCAAGAAACAACCAGCACACAAGCAAGTAAAACAGGTGTACATGCAAAATTCAGACCCTGGCACAAAGCCAGTCCATTTGGGCTATCAGCCACGACTTTATGCCAGAGCTTACAGCCAGTGAACAAAGAAGAAGAAGACTTATTTTTAGGAATATTCTACTTCTGCCCTATCCCCCAATGGAGCATACAGCTTCCCCATGTTTCTTCCTGTCTCTTCAACTTCACTCTCTAGCTACCTCGTCCATGTTTTTTTTTTGTTTTTTTAATAATTTTTTTACCCTGCCTGTAATTTTTTGCTCCTACGAATTTCAGTGCAAAGATATTGTAGTTATATTGTTATCAGGTTTCCTCAACATGTGCCCATTCAACACCAGCGCCCTTTCTTCATCTCTTGATTCACTTGAATTTTTTTTTTTTTTTTTTGTAGTTCTCTCCAAAAGCTCAGCATTAGTGATTCAGTCATACAGTTTAATTCCTTATATTCTGCGCAAGCACCAGTTAATGAATGTTTAAAGTTTACCGGTAATGTTTTTTTTTTTCTTTAGTTCTTTGTTTCCTCTCCATACAGCAGTACTGATTTTACAGTAGAATTACAGAATTAGTATTAAACTTCCTTTGACTTTCACAAATTTCTTAATGCTATGAAAACTCCTCTTTTTGTATTTATTTTTTGAACAGCTCTCCCATCTTTGTCTACATTACTGCCTAAATTGGTGTCTGCCTCTACATCTTAGAGTGGAATATCATTAAGAAAAGTCAGGTTACTTAGTAGGGACGTTAGCACTTCATAAAATGGCAGTTATAGAACCTTAATATTTTGTTTAGTCATCTGAGCTGCCAGTTTGCCACAGGAATGCTGATACCACAGATGGTCATTTTCATGGGAATTATGGCAAGAATCTGGTGAGTATTCTTTTAATGCTACTTCAGAATTTTTCTTCCCCCCCCCCCCACCCCCAAGAGTATAGGCATTAACCAGCTCATGCCACGCTGTGTTATCTTTATCATCTGTATTATGCCATATCCTCTCAATATTATTATTCTTATACATGCTGTGCTGCGTTGAAAGTCATGCCTTTCCACAACCTTCTGTCTAGTGTATTTTCAATCATTTCTGACGCAAAATGTCTTCCACGTCGTGCTGTCAGACTATCCATCTTCCCTCTCAGTAACCCTCTGCCTCTTTTTCCCTCTAACTTTCCCCCTGTCATGCTGTACTACGGTTGTCTATTTTCATGATGTGACTAAATGTTACGTTATCACAATCGAGGTTACTGCACATTAAGCATTCCCATGTGTGCTCAGTCCTGGGAGCAGCAGCCACTCCAAGGTACCTCTATTGATTTTTCCCATGAGAAGTTGTTTATAATGTTTCCTATCTTGATCTCGAAGGCAGCATAGATGCGCTTCATCATGCTTTACTTCCAGGTCACTCAGTTATATAGTGTCAGAGATTTGTCATTAGTCACTAACCCAGTCCGTACTGCACTGATAATATTTGCTCTGTCCATGCTTCTTTGTGCATGCATTGGTGCATCTCTTGCCAGTTGGTCCACTCACTTTACTTACTTTTTACGCCGGCATGACCTGGCATATAGGTCCAGGTGAGGAAGGTTAAGTGCGATAGGACCAAAGAGTATAGATTGTCTTCTTCTGTCTTCTTATATTCTTCACACATTTACTAATAACCTTTTCCTTTCTGGGGAGTCTGCTGCGACTTTATACCCATAAACAGCGGCCTGTTAATATCTTGTCTTTACATGCAGAGTGCTGGATGCACACATCAGTTGTAGATGACTGCTAGCACATCTTTGGGTTGTTTACAGTCTAGTCCTAGCAAATATTTGTCTCTGCATCTTTTAGATCTCAACCTTTCTGTAACATTTCTGATGATCATTTTTAATTATTCCTTTGCACGTCGTATGTTGATCACCAAACAAGCACTGAAATAGGAAACACATGGGTTGAGACAGTGAGGATGCCAAGAGAAACCCTAAAATAATGCTGATGAGAATGTGATGGGCCAAATTCAAACCATAATGTTGAAAAGTGTGCACAGGATAAAGCGGAATGGAGGAATAGACTGGGAGCCCTGTCTGACACATAATAACACAGCAGGATAGGGATGACAACATTGTATGTTTGATTTCTTTATCTATTCCTCTGTTTGAGATAAAAATTGACCGCAGATATTTAAATTTGTTTCATTTGTTATTTTTGTTTGGTTTCTGCATGCCTACGTATCACCATTTTCCTCAGAAAAAAACATTTATAATATACCTTCCACAGGTTGCTGTCTGGAAGTATTGCAGAAAAAATCCAGAGCTGTTATGGTCTTGTATATGTATCGCGAGAACATTTCAGTCGCACAAATTCAGCATGGGTAATAGAAATGTGTCTGTTGTTCATATGTCCTTACACAGGTTTTAGTTTTCCCATGCCTCCACATAGCACAGTATAACACTATCATCTGGAAAGACGGAAAGATGCCAATTTATTGCTATGAGAAGGAATAGACTCGAAGACTTAATGACACCTGGCAAGACTGATTGGGGGTGGGGGGAAAGAGTTAGGCAAAAGGCAGAGATTTGTACATTGATGGCTTGACCACAGGAATGGTGTCGGGACAAGAGCACTGACCACATCCATAAGTCTGGTGATCGTATGGGATGGCAAATCAGCATGGTTCATGGCAATGAGGATGTATCATGTATCGACCATGTGGTAAGACGTCAATAAGGGAAACAAAGAATTTTCGCTCAGTGACCTACCGTGCACATTGTAAGAGGTGAATGAGGAACTCTGGTGTTAGACGTAACCCTTCCGCCCTACGAATATTTAAAAGAAATTTGTTCATGAACCCATGAGAATTCCTGGACAGCGTCTTTGTAAAAGCAAACAACCATATTTCACTGGTCACCGATAACTGTGTTAACAATTCATTCATCTGTATTTTAAAACTATAATTTTGTTGAAATATACAAAGGTGTGTGAAGTAAGTAAAGTAAAGTAAAAGACCCTTTTCCACGCCTTTAGGTGTATAGGGCATATAGGGCTAGACCTATATTTTTATAGACCAATCGGCACAAGATGGGTGATGTGGTCAGCATCACGCCGGCCGCCTTTACTTTCCCGGGACTGCACCCGGTACCCACTCAAGGCTGGGTCGACCTGGGAGCCAAGGTCATTTTTGAAAAAAGTCCGGCTCCGCCAGGGAGCAAACCCACGACCTTCCGATCCGCGGTAAGCGTCTAGCCGCTCGGCTACGGCGACTCCCTAAAGATGTGTGAAGATGAAATCAAAAAGCAGTGGGCAATTTGTATCAGGGGAACTGTTTGTTATGAAGTTGGAACCTTCACTGAATGGCCTACAAAATGCAGCCAACAAAGAATAACTTTCCAATTAACTCAGTTCACTGAACACAATATAACTAACTTGACTCCCTTGTATGGGGCCTGGTGTCTGGGATTTCTGTGTTCGTTGACAGAATGTGGTCTAAATGTTCGATTGTTTCTAAGCATGTTTTAATTTTTAGAAATGTTTTTTTTTTAGTTCATACATTTAATTTTTCCTCTATCATGAGCAAACATTTCTACATGCTGTGAGCATGTAGCATGCTTCACCTGATTTAGGGGGGGGGGGGGGGGGGGGGGGGGGGGGAAGAAAAAAGTCAGTAAACACATACATGTTTATCAGCTGTTGATTCTTACATGGATTACCAATAATGGCCCCAAACGGGCACTTCTAGTCTGTACCATGACACTGTAAATGTTGCTTTACAAACATGCTATCCTGGCTTGTTCACAAGAAGCATAGCTTACAGCATTGGTACAGTTTGCACCACAAACATGATAAGGAGCCCTGGAAATGATTATAATTGCTACAACTAGCATTTAGATTGGGTTTTCTTGTGGTGGGGGGGGGGGGGAATGGGGTGGCTTTTTCAAAATATAAATTATTATTTCAGACTTTCTCATTCATCATTGTGGTAGCCTGGCAATCCAGTCAAGAAGGAACCATGATATACATTTTTTAAGGCTAAAAGGGTTAATTCTTTGCTGAATTTATGTTTACTGATTGCTTCCCTATTCTGCTTGGAATTTGATATTGTTTTAGTCCATAAAATTACTAGGTTTTTTTGTGTGTGTATGTGTGACATGTTTTGTGATTGTATTTTAAAAGATTTGTTGGAGGGGGGGGGGGGTGTCCAGACATACAGATCATTTGCTTTCTTTTTCTAGGTCATTGGGTGAAAGGGTTACATTCTTTTGCCTGCCGTTTCCTGATCTTTGCAAGCTAACCTTTTTCCCCACCCCACAAGTTAAGATTGTTAGCATTTTCATGATTGTGAGAAATATTTTATTTATACTTCATCAAAAGAATACTTTTATGTCAGTTTTTCTTATTGGTTTAGTGTTTGTAAACGATTACATTAAATCTCCACAGAGGGCTTTCAATTCTGCTTTATCATTTACCAGAACTCTCTGTTACTTAGAGGTTGGTTAAATTGTTTCACACTGCAATCATCAATGTTTTACCAGGTGATTCCTGCTGAGGGTGGTTTAGAAAAAGGTTGTTCTTAGGGCTTTCAGATAGTGGTCCATGGAAGAGATTTAAGTCATGTAATATATAAATATATATATATATTCTAGTTTAGTTGTCTGCAACTGTGGCTTAGGCATTGCGAAAGTGCTTCGTAATGCTGGGGTGCCAGGTTCGATCCCAGCTGAGAAAGGTTTGTATTGCGTTGGTTTTGACAGTGTTACCAAGAGCTGACCGTTCAGAGGGAAATGGCAAACTGCTGAACATAAAATTTGCCTTAAAAAAAAAACCACAACAGCCAAAAAATGCTGGGGTTGGTTTTGCAACATCCTGTAAAGGATGCGCAATTAACTTTTAACTTTTTAATATTCTGTAATCTGCAGCGGATACATTGCACAAGCAACCTTCATTGTGGAGATGACACTTTTTTTTTAATTGCTCTGTTAATTTTTGTCAGCTTTTGCTTTATTAGTATACATTGATTTGACAGGCATTGGTAACCATTTCCTTTCTGCCCAACTCTAAGCAACAGAGCAGCAAAGGAAAAAAAATAAGCAAAATTTAAAACCATATGTGGAGATATCCATTTGCAAGTTATTTGTTTACAAACACTAGTACTGTTAAATTGTAATCGTCCTCCCCTTGTGGGATGCAATTTTTAATTATTTTGAAACCCCACCCTGGCTTTTGCCGGGGGCCCTGAAAAATGGCCTAACGGCTGAACTGGGTTTCCGGGATCTCTCCACGGGTGATCCTCATCCTCATGGGGGCACTTTGTTTCACCAGGTTTTTATCGCTTATGTGATGTACTGGTGGGGTACAACTTACATACATACATAAATAGGTTTACAAACACTAAACCAGTATATAAAAAATTGTGTAAGAGTGTTCCATCTTTGATCTAAAACATAACATTTCTAACAATCATGAAAGTATCCACAGTCTACTCTGGTGTTCTTTTGCTTTTGCTTTATTTAAAAACAGCCATCTTCAACTTATAGTCCATGCTATGTGGCAATGGTAACTGTGTCTGCCTACTGTCTTGTGTGCACTATCAAATGCATTATATACCTTGTGATTCTGCAGAAAGAACCAGTGCTGCCAACTCAATTGCAGCGAAGCAACCCTGAAGATGACTGCAGAGATTTGCGAGAAATGTAAGATTTTTGTCTCTTTACACAAATTTATATTTTAATGTGCTCAATTTTCAGAATAAGGATGGAATAAAGAGAATAGCAGACTTGCTTACCAAAACTTGTATCACCCCCCCCCCCCTTTTCCCCCAGTCACAGAATATTTGTTCAGTGCGTCTCTACTCTAATGAATTCTAATGTCAAATCAGTACTGTTGGAAGGAGCAGAAACATGGAAAACAACTAAAGCAGTTACTAATTAACTACAAACATTCATTAACTGGTTCACTTGCAGAATAAAGGGAACTAAATGGTATAATAGAATCACTGATGTAGAGCTTTGCGTGAGAAGTAAGCAAGTTCCAGTGGACCAAGAGTTGAAGAAAAGACGCTGGCATTAAATAGGACACACTTTGAGAAAACCTGAGAACAGTATAACTAAAATGTCTTTGTACTGGAACCCACAGAGTCATAGGAATAAAGGAAGACAAAAAAAAACACCTGGAGAAGGGAGCTAGAGAGTGAAGTTAAAAAGATGGGGAGGACATGGAGTGAGCTGCATGCGATAGCAAAGGATAGAACGCCTTGGTGTGAGTTGGTTGAGGGCTTGTGCTCCATTGGATCTAGAAAGGCAGAAGAAGAAGACATCTCTAAGGTCAAGCCAGTATGATGAAAATGCGTAACAGATCTTTTGCACTGGTTGACACAGTCATGGATTAAGCTTAGCTGCAAAATTTGCGCCTTTCAGCCCAACACATCCAATTTCAGCAAGCCCCTAAGTATTCAACTTTCACAACATGCCTCTCGGGGAGCAGTGGGCCTATTCATTTTCCCCCAGAAATGGAACTCTAGAACTCACACAAGGCTGTTACCCGGTTCAGTCCCCTGAGAAGTTATAACTCTAGGGCACCCTTAAGAGCTCACCAAGTATTACCTTGGTGGGTTACCCGGCTCTCATTTACCCAGGTTCTAATCCTTGGTCATGGAACTGGGAATGACCTTTTACCCTGAACTAATTACATTTTCAGTTCCTATGCCGCTTCTCTTGTATCGCCGCACTCACAGATCCTTGACAAACATTTCCTATTGACACATTTGATCCAACTGGTTTTTAAAGATTTATAAAAAAAAACATTGATTGATTTGATTTTTTAAATTTTTAGTAACTACATTTCACTTTTTTGGCAAACGATCGGCCGGGCCACTGCGTAGCCTCAGCGGGTCTGATTTGGCCCGCAGGCCACCATTTGGATAGCCCCTGCTCTAGAATTCCTGTTCAACGTGTGAAATGATGGTCTAAGACACCATTTTCAAGTTTTGAAAAAATGTCAGTGTTTGTGGTTGGCAAAGTACCCGACAGGCGCCCACCCTGTGAAAAATCGTAAAATTTTGGGCATTTTAGGCTATCTAAATTTTTGCGCCCAGTTTGACTCCCAACGTGTCGATTACACATCTAGATTACCTATTCTACATCTACAGTG